TTACTGTGCTGTTTTTCGAGAGTACATTTTCCGATTTTCCAAGTTTTCTTTTGAAAACGGAGCATTTATTTTGCATTCGCGAATATTATGATATAATTTATGGCGAAGCAAACGAAAATGCCCACAGAAGAAGATTCACATCGTACATCAGAAATATCCCACAGCAAATAAATATTTCGCATACTTTGTGTGGCGGACATTACCAGAAGCTCAGTTGTACCCATTTCATATTCAACGTGTTCAAGCGCTTACTCCTGAGGATTTTCCACTACGTCGAGTTTTTTGCGAATGGTTGCTTCAGGAACATATAAGAAATCCTCAATTTACAGCGCAAATACTTGTTATAGATGAAGCATGTTTCAGTCGATATGATATACGTAACGTTCACAACACTCACCACTGGACTATCGGAAATCTACACGAAATACGTCGTGGTGCCTTTCAGCTACAGTGTTCAGGGAACATTTGGGCCGGTATCGTTAATGACACTTTAATAGGACCTTTTGAATTGCCTAGACAATTAGACGGTGCTTCATAAATAGATTTTTTTCAAGAAAGTTCGTGACATCGACCAACTGCGACATCGTATTGCCGAAGCTTGTAATACGATTCGAGAGGACGTGGCAATGTTGCAACGCGTGCGAGCTAATTGGATACGTCGCGCTGAAGCTTGTCTGCAAGCAAATGGTGGGTACCTACATCGAACATCCTTGAAAATCAGCAGTTCTCAAATGGTGGCACCTTGCAATGTTGAGGTACATAAGTCAGACCTGAAAATTACATTTTACTCAACACAAATCCATGTATTTACTTCATTTTGACATAACGGACATGTGGCAAAAATATTTGACATAAGTTTATTAACACCCTGTATATTTGGGAAGTCTTTCTAATAAGAAATTAGTATTTTTGCAGAAGGTAATATGAGGTTATCAATAAAATCACTTTCGGTATCTTTTTCTGCAACGTACTTATCGAAAATAAGTTCGGATAATTCCTTTTTTGTTTATATCGGTAAAAAATTCAAAACTGTAGATTGAATTTTTAAATAATCGACCGATCAAAATAACTCATTTAGATGGAAAAAAAACGAAAATTGTTACCTGGACTCTTATAAGTGGAAATGGTAAAGGGGCTTATAATAAACGAAAAAAAAAAAATAAATGCGTGAGCAGGGGCGACGGAGGGTTGATTTGGGGGGTTGAAAAGTTATGAAAAATTGTATCATTGGGATTTCTGGCGAAAGTTGACGTCGAGCAAAAAAGTAATTAATACAAAAGTTGTAGATCATGCAAAAATCTACAATTTTTGTAGAGGTCATTTTTTAACATAATCTCAAAATTTCCGAGAAAAATGCGAAAAACAGTTTTATTTTTCAGATTTTTCGTTTTTTATTTCTCATTTCCGTAAAAATAATTTAATTTTGACGAAACTTGGTGGCAACTTGGCAAAATTTCGGGTTTTCGGATTTCGCCTCAACAGTAGACTTTGCAGTTAATACTTTGTATTGCTGAAATCTCAAATCATCCTGAGATAATTTGTCATTTGTGCATTTGTAATTCGACTTAGATTTTTATAGCAATTGAAATTGAATAATCAGTTTTTGAATGTCTTTTAATTTAAACAAATTATCAACAATAACTGAAATATTCATTGCTGCAAGTAATTTTTTATTTTTTGCATTTTTGACCATGTTTTTTTATATGTTATTACAGATGTTTTTTTTTCACCAAAAAGTATATGTCAAAACGAAAAAAAAATGATTACGGCAGAACTCTGTACGATGATTTTTTTAAGTAGAATTTTTCTTTGAAAAAAAAAAAAATGTTTCAGGCCGACAAAAATGAATATCTCAAGAGACTTCCTGATTTGTTTATCTAAAAAAATTTGAGATTATTTAAGACAGAGAAAGGTATAGTTTCACCAAGTTTCGTCAAAATTAAATTATTTTTGCAGAAACGAGAAATAAAAATCCAAAAATCGGAAAAAAAAACAGTTTATCGCATTTTTCTCGAAAATTTTGAGGTTATGTTAAAAAGTGACCTCTACAAAAGTTATAGATTTTTGCATGATCTACAACTTTCGTATTGGATACTTTTTTGTTCGACGTCAACTTTCGCCAGAAATCCCAATGATACAATTTTTCATAACTTTTCAACCCCCCAAATCAACCCTCCGCCGCCCCTGCTCAGGCATTTATTTTTTTTAGGTTTATTATAAGCCCTTTTACCATTTCCACTTATAAAAGTCCAGATAACATTTTTTTTCTCTAAGTGTAATTTGGTTGGACTATAACTGTTTTTTCTTCTAATAATTATTATAAATCCTATATCTTTTATTACAAATACAGTATTGTAAGGGAGCCTTCTTTTTTTTGTTTGTTTGAATGGTATTCATAAAGGCTTAATAATTATACTTCCATTAGCGATAAACATAAAGATGTTTGACAATAATAAAAATGGTAGTAATCGAATTCTACTCTGGAATTCTTGTCAGAGAACGTTACTTACTAATAAATTAAAGTTTGTAATATTTTATTTAGATAAACTGTTTTTTTTAATTTTCTAATATTTACGTTCCTAAAAATCTTGTTCGATTGAAGAGGATGAAGATAGTCTAGATATAAAACAACCTTATTAAATAATAACGTATAATTGCAAAAACTAGGCGGAACATTAAAACAACTAAAAAATATTTACATTCATTTTTGGTTTAGGTAGCTGTATGAACCCGAAAGTATACATTAAAAAGACAGCCGTTTGTTTGTGAGATTAACTTGACAATATTGATACGTATTTTACAGAAAACTAAGAATGTAATATTAAAGTTACTCTCACATACAAACGACAGAGACATCCTAACTACGATTCTATAGACTACTTTTAAATAAATATATTTACATGTCAATGGCCTACATATTTTGTACAATAATAAAAATACACTAGGTACCTATTTACGTCGTCTTTAATTCAACTAAAGAAGTACTTAGTTTATGGCACTTTTCAAGGCAGTAACGTTTTCTACTTAGGCACTTAATATTTCAATTTATTTATTTATTTTCATAATTCTTATAAAAGGTTGCCCGACAAAAAAATCAAACATTACGAGCTGCTATATTTCCTCCAGTTTAATGTCGTGAACAGTTAAAACCCAAATAATTTATGAGGCTGAAATTGCTTAGTTATCAACTTAAAAATTCTGGTATACTCTTTCCACCACGGCTTAGTGTTCAACATTTTCTTAAAACATGTCATCTCTCCTGTACAAGAAATATGTGATAGTTATTTCCTCCACGTAATAGTAAAAAATAGAGCTTTTGACTAAAATGCTGTAACAATTTCAAGTATATCCTATGATACATTATAAAACGCATCTACATGCTATATTTTACAGATGATTCGTAAAATGAGTGGGGGGTGTTTGCAGTTGGCGGTGATGGTAGCGACGATGGGATCGAAGGTGGCGGTGGACTTAAGTATGGCTTCCTATCGCACTGGATCGGCTGCATTGAATTGCTAGACGGCCTCATCACTAAAATAATAAAATTGACATTAGAAACTTCACTAGTTTTCCACATAAAATTAAGGTCTACTCTTTTCGGGAGTACAAGAATAGTGTACAAATAACAGTGGTCATATATACATTATATGCGCTTTAAGGAAACCGCAGAAAAAAAATTAAAAATGGTGAATTATAGATAACAAACTGGTGGAAATGGTGACATCAGCAAACTTTATTTACTACCCTCAGCCGCATATATCCTCAAACACTATAGCAGGATGGTACTGCAAAGTAGAGCAAAAAATTGTCGGCCTTTTATCAAAGGAAAATTTTGTCATCATTTTTAGGACGCGTAAGATTTCGCATTTCAAATTTAAAATGAATGAATGAATGAAATTGAATGTAAAATCTGAAATACCACGAAATGGTTGGTTATACGTTAAATACTAACCTGGGGAGCTTGGTCGTAAATCAGAGACCGCCTACAAAAAACAACAACAGTGGCGCGTACAGAGGTAAAATGTAGTACATATGTGGAATGTAAAAAACAAATTGGATGTATAATAAATTACATTTAAAATAACTAGTTTATGAGAATAAAGGTATTTTTGAAGGAAAAGGGGTGCCAGACTTGAACTGATCCCTTCATCCCTTCATAATACATAAAGAAATTCAATTCAATTTCGAAACCCCTTAAAACCGTACTGCACTGCAATATGATCCTACTATAGTACTAGTTTTCGTAATTTTTTTACAATATACAGTCCTGCTTCAATTAAGTATGCGCAATTACGCATAGAGATCTCGACATTGGTAGGAGATATACAAAGTTGAGGTAATTACTTAAATAAGAAAAAATATTCCCAGAATATCCTGGTACATATCTAGAGATATTGCTTATATGTCTAGGGGACATATCGTTTCATATGCACCTGGTATTTTATTATTTTATATAGAAGGATATCCCATTATTAGTTTTGGCAGCAATATATTATTTTTGTGATATTCCTGGGTTTTAATATCGGAACATCCTTAGTTTGATACCTACCCCACTACCTTTTATCTGTGCATCGTTTATTTAGTTGTGTTGCTATAATATTTGAACATCGATGAATTGACGTCCGCTATTTTATTGTTGAAATGTTCAGGGGAAGACAGAGTAGAAAAGATGTCTCATTTCGTGAGTTGATTTTTTTCATTAGCAACATTGTTTTTTTTAACAATTTGGGTCGAAAATCAGTTTCTTCAATATATTGGGGAAACTATTGATTTCAGAGAAACGTGTTCTACAGACGATATATGCTCAATAAAAAGACCTACAAAATGCCGCCTGATAGATTAAAATCGGATACATTGTTTAAAAGTTATTGCAAAAAAAACATAAAATTTTTTTTTAATTATCCATAACTTGGTTGTTATTTGTTGGAATTTTATAAATATGCCTAAAAGTTGTGAGTTTTATTGTTCTTCAAAACTGTGCGAAAGATAGGCGCTATGGGCCGAATAGTTTTTGCAAAATTCTATTATGCAAAATTGCATAACTTTAACCTTCTGTCTCTCCGAAAGTTATTAACAAAAAATTGTTTAGAAAGTCGATTTTTAATGCTTAAAACCTAACTTGGCTTTGTATTTAAATGGAACTTTGATTTATTGTCAGGGGGCCTTTTGATTTTTACATTAAAATGTAATATTTTACCACATTTTTATAAACATTTAATTTATCTCCAAAACCGTGCATAATATTTAATTAAAAAAAGTGTGATTGTATAGCCAATTAAAAAACACACATTAAAAAAATGTTCCTTTTGGAGCCGAGTTAGATTTCACAATGCCTCTGTAAACACCAAGGGCGGAGGAGTAGTTTGTTTCAATTCTACGCCACTGATGGAATAGTAATTTTAGTGTTTATGTTTTGGTCCAAGAATTATCCAATTCCCATATACCGGAATTATTATTGAAACACCTTGTAATCTTATCACGAGATTAGATGATCGTATTTACTACCAGAAAAAAATACATTACTGTGACTACAATTATTTATTGAATAGGTTTAATTCTGTAGCTTTAGAGAAGCTCTGTAGGTTTTTATACAAGTTGTTGCATGATAAGATTAACCGCGACTGCGTTAATATCGCAAACTGATACATTGGTTCCTAGACCTGTCAAATAATTCTACAAATTTATTATTAAAAGCTCAAGTGTATTAATATAGAAAGCATGTAATATCAAGTGTGTATATGTTTAGTGATTCTGCTGACGAATAATGTTAGCTGTTTGCTAGATATTGAGGGTGTAATTTAATGCTGGGCAGGGCAAGTAGCCTATATGCTTCCCACTATATAATAATTCTAGGTTTCTAGTGATCTATGAAAGTTAAAAAAACTAAAACCATCATGACTGCCGGTATCGTCACTGGTTGATGTATGTATGTATCTCCTGTTTCAGCAATTCTGATACAAGGTCACATTTCTGTGAAAGCAAAGTGACTCGATGTTGTTACTGAAATAAAAAAATTGGTTAAAAAAAAACATATTCTCTTGACTTTGCAACGCAGTTTAATTTTTGATGCGATTATAATACTTGTTCAGAAAACTAAAAATACAACAATAACTTCCTGCGGTTGCTGAAAATAGACATTTAAAAGTTGGCTTACATATGCACAGAATGACAGCTTTCCGTTGCAACGAAGTGAATGGCACAACAAAAGAAGTATTGCTGCAATATACTGATTCACTTATTTGTATCTAATAATTATTTATTAACTGCAAATTTAAATGAACCAAACGCTATGCGTGTTTACTACATGAGGTACCTGTGACATTTGAAATTCATGTTGCAATCAAAATATTTACAGTTAGAAATAATTATTTTCGAGTTCTGCTATGTTTATGGAAATTTATTAAATGAACCAACGGTAATTTACAATAATATGTTTTTTTAACTTTGTGATCCGTTTTAAAAATTAAACTTGTTCCAGAAAAGACACAGTAAATACAATCCAAATAGAATCCAGTTTGTAACAATATTTTTGTCTTGGTTGAAACATGTTAGTGTACGTATAAAGTCTTAAATATGAGCGTGCTTGTAAAATATGTCAATAATTGCATAGGATTTGTTGTAGGTACCAATTGTGTGGAGTAACTAATCCTTCATCCGTTCTAAGTGTGATTTATTTACTAGTGATTGTGAAAGCAATAAATTTTATCAAAATAATTTGTTGTTGTTTAGATTTTTGACTAACTTAATGTGTCAAAATATGGCAAACATAAGCCTCATTCCTTCAACACTTAGTCCATGTCTTTTTCAACCGACGATATAATTCTCGCCAAGCTTTGTTAAAAAAATAATCCAAGATCATTTTTGATCATTTGCTGTATCTGTAGTACATTCTGAATATTCCATAGACATAGATAAGAACCAATAACTAATGCTTCGATTTTTTTGTTGGCATAATATTATTGCTTAGTTTCCGGAAAAGTTTATTGATATTATCTGCTAATCCGTGTTTGTGAAAATGCAAATGTCAAGAATTTCGAGAAAAGAAAATACAAAATATAGTAACACGATGCTGTATTATTCGCTAATGAGCCATATCAGGACGGTTATGTTACAGTTTCCATAAACTTACAACAGAATATAACTTTCAGAGTGTGAAGGGCTTTATAGCTTCCGCCGGTAAATAAATCCTAATGGATAGTACGTAGCTTAGACAATTGTTTTTTGGTTATTAAGACAATGGAAAACCAACTAAAATGATATTTTATAGTATTCAAGTAATTAACAAAGAGAGAAGAATAAACACATTTGTATGTACATGCTCTTCTTGGGGTGAGGAAGATAAACTGAATATTTTTCTTCAATTATTAAGATTTCTCTCAAATATGTACTTGTAAAAGTTCTTTAACGTCTTTAAAAGAAATAAATTATGTCTAAAAGAAAAGAAACTTCCAGATTCACAGTCCATGTTGTAGACATATTTAAAAACTGCACAATTTTCAACAGTTATTTCACTCCTAATACTTACTAAAATTAAAATATTTTACAAAGAAAATAAAACTACTCAATTTCTTATGTGTTTGTAGCTTCTGCAATTTGAAAATTTATCATTAAAGTGTTAAAATACAAATAAAATTACATATTTGTATACCTACTACACATAATTGTAACAGTAATTGTAGGTAGTACCTATTAATAGTGTCTGATGGCAATTATAAAAGTAGTCAATAGTTTGATGCAAAGGCTGTAGTAAACACGTTGCAGACGAAATGGGGCGCTATTCGACGGATGAGCGAGTGAAAATTGTGAAAATTCATTACAAGTGTGGAGAGTGTGTAGCTGAGAGTGTGCGCTAATTACATTTTACATTACATCATTTTCGGTAGAAGGAATGTTCGGAATGCAACAACTGTGAAAATATTAGTTGCCAAATTTGAACAAAGAAGTTAATTTGTAGAAAATAAAACAACAGGCCGGACACGTACTGGTCGTTCAGCCAAAAATATTGCTACGATGAGTGAAGTGTGGCGGAAATTCCTGAAACCTCAATGCGTCTTCGGTCACTGCAATTAAATATTTCAAAAAGCACAATGCAGCGGATTTTAACAAAATATCTGTATCTGCATCTATTCAAAATTTAGCTAACCTATTAATTGAAACCAGATGACCATTTAATGCTCAGGACAATCGTTGATTGGATGTTTGCCAACTTTATAAATAATAAAATCTTTTTTCCTCATATGGAATCCTGAGTTTCTTTTGGACACCCTCTATTTTTCTTATTAGGATAAGAAAAAAGTATATTATTCAAATACAGAATTTAGCAAGATTCGATTTTTGTTTTTTATTCTTATACATATAGGATTGCCTGTCTACACTATTATTTTTCTGTTTGAAATGTATTATATATATAGAAAGATTAACATCTACTTTTTAATAACAATTAACTATACAATTCTTATAGTTAATAATATATGAAGATGCAGCCGGTGACGGGCATAAAACATGAAAACATATTGATTATGATTACAAAA